TTTAATAGCGAACTATCAGAATAAAGAAAGAAAAAAAGACATTGTATTATCTTAACGCTTAATTATATAAATAAAGATATATCCTTGAGATCTCTATAAAAATATTTATAATATTATTTATTTTATACAACGATCTTCGCTGAGATCAATAAAACAAGAGGGAATAAGCAAGTGACTTTTTTATCTCAACAGTTAAGAGTTGTTGAGATTCCACTGTATATACTCCCTGGGGGAACCGAAAAAAACGACATATTTTGCAACAAAAGTCACGATAAAATTGCAATTGAAACCAAGAATCATACGACTCACTTAAAGTAGAAATATCCTAAAGCAATGAAACGTATAAAATATCATGATTCATGTCTTTAGATATTAGACAAAGGTAAGAGATGATATCAATGTAATATTTCATAAGAATAAAGATGACTTTAGCACATGACATTACTAATAACAAAGAAACAATTTTAGATTTATAATAAGGATGTTAGAATAGATTTGAAAGAGATTTTATAAATATAAAAGGTGCAAAACTTCAAGTTCTTATACAAAGTAGCGTTATTGATGAGAAGGATTCTATGAATAATGGATATTTGCATAAAGATGTGAAGACTAAAAAATGAAATTTATCATAAAATTACTCAAAGGATCATATTCAAATACAGAATTTTGCAATATATTTTCATATATTTGCTTTGAATTTAAAGTTTTATATACATATAAATTATATTTTATTGTTAGAAGTTGAGGTTCTTAATAAATTTATACTAAATATATCAAGAGAAGACGACAAATACTGTAAATCTATAATTTTTACCCTTTTAAAATATTTACATAATATAACGTTTAAAAGAAAAATATATTTATATAAACCTTATTTTCTTTAAATTAAGAAGCATATACATGTATTTTTCTTAACGCTAAAAACACATTTCCTCAAACAATATTTACTAATTTGCTATTTATTTTTACTATTTTAAAATATTAAAAAAATTCATTAAAATTTTAAAAGTATATTTAATTTTATTTAACAACATATTAAACGATTTTTCAATTGAATACTTAGCAACCATAAACTCTTAAAGGGTAATCGCCAGATGACATTTTGATATTTTGATTTGACATATTGAAACAGTAATATGAGCTGAATGATGACATGAGTGGAAGGTTGATATTTACAGAGGTTGACATATTGTCACCTCTTTCTATCTAACTTGTTATCAATCACTTACTCCAAATGTGATTGATAACAGTTTGCATTCTATTGATCCATACACTCTACAACAGAAGCCTTATTTTAATGATATAAAATAAGCTTAAAATTTTAAAATCGCCATTTATATAAAACTGAAAATAAACTTATTATAGTTATTTACAGTAAATTAATTAATTATTAATGCAATTACTGTTACTTTCTTTAAAATGCTTATACTTAAATTTATTTCTTTCCTTTTTTTATTAATATTTCTTTAGTAAAACTGCTTTTTACTCAATTAGCCAGTCGATAAATCACTTTCGAAATCCACTAATTTCAACAACCTTCAATTAAGTCTATGATGAATTTTCTCATAAAAATCAAATTGTTGGTCGAATCGATATCTAGTCAACAGCTGACAACTAAACGATCCTTTACCAAATTATGCTTAATTAAATCCTTCCGGTTAGACATTTTTATGAGTTTTTAATATTTACACATCATTAAAAATATTATAAAATACATTAGATCATTTTATAATTATTTTTTACATAAAATTTTAATCATTGTTTATTGTGACTTAACATGATTTTCAACAAATTTATCTTTAAAAAGTTCATAAAATTCGATTAAAGATATAATAATTTTTGATTTTTTTCTTACTAAATCTATAAGACAACATTTACTAATTAAATATAAACATTTTGTTCTTCTTTTTCTATAACTGTTTCTGCTTGCATCCCTTTAGATCTACACGTGTAGCGTGAGATGTAAGATGCAAATAAATCTCTAGAGATAAAACAAACTTATAGGAAAATTTTTGTTTAATTTAGTTAGTTATAAAAATACAAATTTCTTTATTAGACAATAGTTTATTTGTTAAAATAATCTAAATGTTATTTTTTCTTTTAAATGTCCATATTGATATATCGTTATAGCCTACAGCTTCTAAACTTCTAAAATATTATAAACATAGCTATAAATATTTTAACTAAATTCGAATAATAATTTTTTATAATTTTAGATGTTTGTTTCAAGAATATAATTAAAAAATCTAATTTTTGTCTTCGTAAGTACGAAGGAGTTGCGTGGATAAACTGATCACGATTTTATTTCTCTTCAGTTTATATGAGAGCTATAAATCATATTATCAGCATAACTTAATAAAGTAAATTAAAAA